TAGTAAGCTTGGCTTGAAAATTTCAGAAGCAGATATGGAATATATATTTTTTATTCCAAAGGAAAATTTCTTTTCGCCTATTTTAATTTTGCCTATTTTAAATTTGCGCATTTAATTGGATGGTTCTCCACCGGCTTTAGCACCGGTGAGGCGGCTGAGAGAGTAGCGCAGGGATTTGGGTTCCCCGCCTGATTGTATATATTGTATATAGGTATGACTGTATTTTTATGTTTTTAGTTTACTTATATTTAGGTTATTTTATTTTTTTATTGTATATAGTTTTTATTTAGTTATTATTTTACTTTTGTTAATTTTATTTCTTTTTTTTATATACGGTGTGAATGTGTTAATTTATCAATATATTATATATATAATATAATATATAATATAATATAATATATATATATATATATATATATATTATATATATATATATATATATATATATATATATATATATATATATATATATATATATATATATATATATATCAATAATATATATAATATATTATTGTCCCCGTGACAATATATTATATGTCTAATAAATAAAAATAAAAAATAAAAAAAATTGGATGGTAGACGAACGGATGCAACGTCAACTATTGAAGCCTGGTACTTTTAAGTTCTATATGAATACCTCCGATATAAGCCTAATTAACTATAGCTAATGTCCATGTGACAGATTGTTGTAATAGTCAATAAATAAATTGTACTTTTAAGGAATTTGCGAGATCATGCGTTTTCTTTAGCCACAAAATGAGAGACTCATGTATATTATATGATCATTTTCAGAAATAATGTTTTAGTTTTTGTTCATAATTTGCTTAGGTTTAATAGATCATTTTCGTTTCTTTGATCAATTTTTCCATAATTTTAAATTTAACATTTGATAATCCAACAGGCGATGGAAACTATGCGTTCGGACTATAGTAAGAAGGACCTATAATGATAAAGATAGTCGTATATTCGTAAATGAAGAAAACAAGCAGTTCTCTCTTTAATATTAACGCAGTACAGTGTATAGCGGAAGAGTGGTCAACATTTTAACCGTGCGTGCCACAAACGAGAATTTTCCATATCGAGACGTGTCAAAACAGTGTTTCTCCTCTCTCATATAATTTACCATATCCACTATAACTTTTCCATATAGTATAGGAGTTTCGACTTTACAATATTGTTTTTACTTTTTCTAAATTTTATCAATATACCAACGTAATGAGTAACATTAAAACATTATCATGCAAGTAACAAAATATTATTACTAGTACGTATAGTGTAGTACGTGTTATCAATTTTATTATCAACATCAAAGATTCTTAGTCTCAAATACTATTTCACCCCAGAAAGATTCTTGTCCTTTGCTTTGGGCACTCTCATTTAGCGGTTGGTTTTGATATGCTCTACGAGTGGCAATGTAAGAATGTCTGGAACAAAGAATGATGTTTTAATATTGGCGCAGAGGTAATACCGTCCTGGGGGAACAGGTAAGAGCCAATTTAACATGCCCTGGATGAGTGTTATGAAAGAATTCATATATGCTTGTCTTATCACAAGCATCCCTGATCAAAGTGGGGAGGATAAAATAAACAATGAGAATGTTTTACACTGTGAAAATTTTATAGTCCGTGGTACAGACCTCTTTTAATCAAATTATTAATATCAGCTTGAAACCAGAGATGGGCAAATGCTACACTGAGCACGGGAGTACTATGTATTTTATTCAAATACTGACTTTATTTGAGAATCGAAAAATTGAATTACTTCTTCAGTTGATATCAAACGATTAACTGAAGTAGTGAATTCCCAATATTGATTCAATTTGAGTAAAATACTTGATTCTCGGTACTCAGAGTAGCATTTGGCCATCTCTGATTGAAACTTCGTAAATAGCTCATCGTAACCTACAACTATTTTATTTACGAAAACTCTTGGGATTGGGACGTTTTCAATCTGGAGATTGTCAAGCTTTGTCTATTTAATTATTTATTTTTTTTTACAGCCTGTTCATCAAGTCTTACAAATAGTAGGTCTCTCCTAATTAAAGGGATATAGTCTTAACTTTCCGCGGGGACCAGACGTAGTGGGATAGTAATAATATCTTTTTATTATTAGTTTTCATTAAATATTCCTGAGTAATTATCTTCAATAATTATCCAGTGGCATCCCGAATAATGTTTCTTCTAAAACATAGCAGTACCCTCTTTTTGAGAACTGATTCACTGTACTACATGGATATGTGATGTGCTAATGTTAAAAATAAATTCGATTTTTAAAAATAAAATCTCATCGTAATAAAAAAGAAGATATAATTATTTACTAGCATAATAAGTGTTTCTGTATTAAATCAAATTCCAGCTGGGCCTAATAAGATGAAATCGGCCACACTTTGATTTTATTACTACTATTCGTTTTATCTCGTGAAGATAAAATATTGACAAAGGGCCCGTTATACTTATTAGAGGAGAGTATCTGGAATTTGATTGCTGAGCATTAAATATACGAAACTAGCTATAAAACTCAGCTTCATTGAACAATAAAACCATCCAGCTTTATCTGGCCGTTTTTTATCAGATTTATAAATTTAATGGAGTCTTTTGTCATCAAAATCGCTAACAGTCTTCATGACCAGTTCCTATTTAAATTTATACGCTATGTTTTGAAAACAGTTACGCTTGGTCTTTGTGAAAATAACTGAACAATAAGGATTGAATCGAGGTGATCAGAAAGTACGGTCGTAGGCTCAATTACTGGGGAATATTTTAATTAACACCAACGAGGTAGCTATTAATTCTATAAGATGGCCACTACGTGTCTATAATAAATAATTTAAGGCCCAGAATGACAGCGTTAAGAAAGAAAATAACTTTGATAACTGAATTAAGAATATAATACATTTTTTATTAAGTTTATCTTACTTTTTAGATGGAATAAAGAACAGTCTTATAAGTTCTGATAAAGTCCGAGGTCAGAAGGCTTCCTCCATTAAATGGTCGTTCCTTTTGAATATCATTAGGAAAACATAAAGGTTCCAGAAGGAAAAATAGCTTTCTATCGATATGATTTTCTTTGATGTTAGCATAAGGAACATAAGCTCCACTTACTAGATTCAATCCCTCCCCCTTTTTACCAATACCAGTACACCAGTCCAATGGAATAGAACATAAAAGTCATTAATTCAAAGTTATTAGAGCAAATTGATTTTATTATAGAATAAATTAATTTATATAACAATAATAAATTGTATGTAAAAGAGCTGATTGTTTATTGTTTAATATGTATTAGTGCTAGAGGTACCTATTCTTACATTTTATTTCTTTATTCTTGGCGCTATGGTCCTGTAAGAACCTGGGCCTCTCTTATGATCCTTCACCACTCTCCTCTATCCCGAGCGAGCATTCTCCATATTCGAATTCTCATCCTTTTCAGGTTGTCCTTTACCTGATCCAGCCATCTCAGGCGTGGTCTTCCTATTCCATGTTTTCCAGCAGACTGATCCTCTAGCAAGCGTTACCCGCCGTCTGATCCGGTTTCCCTTCACAATGGAGACCAAATCCGGCCTCGCATACGTTTCGTACAGCTCTTTATTAGTGCGAATTCTCCATTGTCCATGATGTAGAACCCTTCTCTCCCATGCGAGTAGCATTTTTTCCGATGCTTTGGAGATGATCCAAGTCTCAGATCCATATGTGACGACGGGTCTGATGACTGTCTCATATACAGTGATCTTTGTTCTGTTAGAAAGTGATCTGCAATTAAATATTTTTCGCATTGCAAAACAGCGCCTATTCTCGGCAGCCATATTTGCTTTTAATTCTTCCACCATTTCATTGCTTTCTGTAATTATTGATTTCAAATATTTAAAATGTTTGAACACTTTTAGGGTGTGGTTACCAATTTTGACGCGTCAGCAAACAGTCTTCAGTTTATTTATTTGTAACCGTAGTTCTTTAGTTGCGGTTTCGAATTCTTCTAATGCCCCTGCTAATGATGTTTATCTATTTTTACAATATATACATAAAAGACATTGCAATATGAACTTCACAAATAAAAGGGTTATAAAGAACCTATAATAAAAAAAGTTATTTAATGTTTAATAATAATAATAAAATAATAAATTATAATAAAAGGCTTAGCCGAAGGTTCCATTCCGATATAACTAATCGGTTTTAACAAACTTTCGGTTTTACCAAACCGAATTCTATTATATCAGGCTTAACGCAATCTTCTCACCTTCGCTTCGGTCTATTCCTGGGACTTTTACCAATCGGCAAAACATGTATTAACCTTTTAGGAATTCATTTTATTCGACACGATATCACCTCAATTATATTAACCGAATAAAGTTCATGCAATTCGGCGTTGTATAACTGTCTAAATTCTCCGGTTGACTCATCCTTCTTTAGTCCAAATGCTCTACGCAATATTTTATTTTCAAAAACATTAAGGCGTTGCTCATCCCTTAGTGTAAGCGACCACGTTTCGAATACATATAATTTAGTAGGAGCGTGTTAAGTAGTTTTATCACAGAAAAATAACAACCATTTCGCACCTTCGCTGTAACCTTGATTTCCTCTTAAATTTTGTAAATTAAAGTTGAATACCAAAGTTTAAAAAATTAAAATAAAAGTCACCTAAATACATTCATACCTACATACGACATTTGCATTCGAGCAAGGTTTTGTTTTCCACATGTGAAATGTAAGCGAGATTCGAAGAGATCCCAGCGCTTCTCTTCCATCTTTGTCACTGGAATTGAAGTCAGTGGAGACTGACAGAGTGCGAATATGAAATATAATAGTTTTATTTATTTACCTTCTAACGGTTAATCTACTTTCTACCTAATTATCTACCTTTAAATAATTGATTGCGTATTGTTTTGGTATACAGGTTTATTTGGACATTATTTTATATCAACTCTATTTATATTATAGATTTATTTTATATAAGTGATAAATTATTATGAAATTGTCATTGTTATAAAAATTCCTTATTTTTAGATTACTCCATCAAACGCGGTAGCTACCTGAAGCCACAGCGAAGTACCTCAGCTCCTGTGACAGCAAGCAGACATTGGCTTCAGTTAGGGTGAGTTCGAAAGTAAAGTATGCACTTAATTAATCTCAACTAATTAAACATTAACGAAATGCTGATATCTCTTTTATATTTATATATTTTCCACTTATCTGTAAGATTTGTGAGCGGCACACAGTTGTGTATGATATTATGTGTATCGACCGTTAAACAACAGAATATTTTCCTTGCATTTTTCGTCTTCAATATCCCCTAGGTCATTTCAATAAAGTCCGAACTGGTTTAACCTTTATTTTAGGAAAAATGTGTTTAAATTTTGATTTGTAAACACTTTTCGTTCTTATCAAAAATTATAAATTCTGTCGTCATTTCTATACATGAATTTAATTTAACTTTTGAAGATGGTATTATTTAAAAAACCTCAATAAAAAAAACGGGCAAGATGAAATTCCTGTCTATACATCAACAAATTTATAACTAATATAATTTATTCCTTACGGTAATAGACAACTGGAATAAAAGTATAGAAACAAATACACTGAAAATAAAAACTGCAAAGGAACGGATTCAAGAGAAATTCGAACTAAAAATTGATACTGATTTTACCTTTATTTGTTATCGGCTGTTTTGCTCAGCTTCTCTTACAACATTTTTTTTTTTCAAGTTTATCTATGTCCTCTTGACAGTGATATAGGTAATATAAATATATTTATAGTTGATTTGGTAAATAACCTTATCCAATACATTTTCATTCTTACAACTTATTAGATGAATTAAATATTTTATTTAAATAAAATTACATCTTATTGACGTCTATAAAGCAACATCTTATTTTTTTTTAAAAATCTAATACGATTAATAAGAACCTCTGTGTTATTCTTCGTATGGGACGGTGTTTGTGATGAAATGTCAAAACAAGGTGACCTTTCTCGTCGAAGTAGGGCTCTCAGAATTAAGAGCTGTTGACATTTTGTTTGTGATGGAATTAAGGAATGGAATTTTTTCATTTTGAATGGTGCACAATAACCTATCCCGATAGTCCCAGGAATGAGCAATATTCGCAAAACATTTTAGTTTTTGTATAATGTAATTATTTATTTATTTATTTGCTTGGACCAATATTCGACAGAAGAATGAACTGAAGTCCACACCTCAAAACGAACCTGAAACGACATACTGTAAAGAAACGTGAAAATACTGTACTCACTTTTTTCTAAATCGGAATTGAAAGTTCAACAAAAACTAAATACATACACTTACCTACTCAAATCTGGACATACACCTCACAGATTTACGGTTCGGAAAAAAAGATGCACTTACAAAAACTACAGTAATTTCAATCCAAAATTTTACAACTTATAACAGGAGCTCGCTGGTACGTCAACAACAAAATTTTACATAACGACTTACGACAACCAACTATAGACCAACACATACCGTACTTACAATCGTTATCACCTCAAACTACACGGGCACACAATTAGACTTATAAATGAAATGGCCACGATTGACATGGGCATCAGGAGGAGACTAAAAAGGAGCTGGAGGAGAGATCTCCTCACCTTACTCAAGAAAAAAAATGATGACTAGGGGTGCTATCCTTCCTCATGCCTATAATGTTGGTCCTTATTTATCACAAGATATCTGCTTATTGTCAATACCATGACAAGTTCGGATACATATTTGAAAAGAAAAAAAAAGTATTTATCAGTATATGTTGTAATACATAATTCTGTAATACACATTGTCACTTAAATAAAGGGAAATACTTCAAAACGTGATAGTAAAACACAAAAAATACAACAAAGTTTATATAAACTATGGTCTAATTCCGTCAGTTTTTTTTAAATAGGAAGTGATAACTAAAAATGATATTTATTTTGGGTAATTAACAATCATCCGCAAAATAAAATAAACAAAAATGGTGGATAATGGTTCTATTATATGTCCCAACACGATTCATTTGCCTTCCTTCCTGCAATATTTACATTAAGTCATGCAATTTACCGGATTAAGATATATTAAAATCTTACTAATTCGTGGAAAAGTGAGAATCTTAGAAATCAAAAAAGTGTTTTTTTCGATCAAGTATATTTTTACATAGGACAGAAATATAAATATTAATATTTTATGAAAAGTAGTAATAATATTTTTTATTCCTTCGAGTAAATTTTCAGTATTATAATGAATTAATGTATAATGATATAGTAGACTTTATATTGTGATAATGTGGAAAAACTCATCACTTTGTTTAATCATTTTTATATATTATTTTTTTTTTAAATACTGAAATTTTGGTAAATAAAAGATATTTTAGTTATTAATTTCATTTAAAGCATCCCGGTTGATTAATAAGGTTTATTGTTGAAAATGGTTAACCGAAATCGGATGGATGTAAAATTAGATTAAATATTACAACCCCTTAACTTTACAATATTTTTAATAGGTGCTAGTTTATTGTAATTTATAGATATATGCATATACCTCAATTTCAATATTTTACATATTTTTTGTTTTATTATTTTTAATCTTACTATAATATAATATTTTATTAAATAGCTATTCTGATGTTTATTTGTTTCAATTTATTTATTATTTATTTATTTCATATGCATTTATTGTAATTAACAGTATGTAAACATATTGATATTTATTTATCTTTATCTATTTTTTCAGTTTACTTATCTTCTCCAGTATATTAATTATAATATTATAACACTCTGTAATTTAATAATTTCTTGTCATTTTACGCCAGACAAATGACACTTCTTACGTTATTGATTATTGATATCCTTAGGGAACTAAATCTCAAAGAATAAAATTCACTTTTATCTTCTACATCAAATTATTAGAGATGTCTCTTATATAACACTATACTCATTTTTTCACTTGTTAGAATACCATTAAAATATCCTCGGAAACACCTAACCGATACGGGAATAAAGAAATATAATTGTTAGAAAAATAACAAACAATTTAGGATTTAGAATAGATTTGGTATTATTAATCACTATTGTTTTCAATAACCTCTTTTCATATCAACGAATTGTGTGGGTTTTATTGAAGTTATATTTGACAACATATTGTTGGTTGCGTCGGAACTGATATGATTCCATGATTGCACAGCTGCCCGGTCCGTTAATCGAAAAGATAATTAAAACTTTATAGAAGGCAGGATATGTCTGCCCTAATCAGGTTTGTATGTAAAGTCTCTTGTAAACTTTGTCAGCTTATTTTAATTAGCTCATTTTCATGAAGGATTATAATTAATTTCTCACTTTGAATAATTTTGATATTCAATAAGAAATCTTTTGTATGTGATGAAAGTATGTATCAAATTTAAGCCTAAAATTGACGTCACCCATAGTCTAATGTACTTTCAAACTTCTGATAGTATTTTTGTGACAAAAATAAATTGGTTTAGATAAATTTAATTTAGGGCAACTAGACAAAGTTCAAGTCTAAAATTAGCCTGTGTATTACAAAGTCAACTGAAAAATATAGCTATAAACTAAACAATTGGTTATTTTTAGTGGTAAACACTGAAAACCTTGACTATAGTTGCTCTATGGGTGATAAATATTCAGGTCGCAGTCATTATAAAATTTTTATTAGTTCCGACGTTTCAATCCAAGCATGCGGGTCATCATCAGGGAGTTTCGAACACTGAAGTATTCAAGTACGTCGGCACTAATAAAAACGTTATAATGACTGCGTCATGAATACTTATCACCCATGATATATAGAACAGTCGACTAACTTCCTTCAATATAGTTGCTATAATTTAATTTAAATTTGATAATTTGTAATGTTGTTTAAATAGATAAAAGCAGATTTGAAAAAGAAGCCATCTTAATGTTCTGAAGTTAAGATTTCCAGGTAATTGAAAATATGTGTGACAAATATTTTTTTAGATAAACAAAATTGATTATAATGTGAAAAAAATCGTTTAAAATAAACTGACTGTATGGAGGGTTAATTAAGTTGGATTAAAATTAACTTGTTCTTTTTTTTCTTTTTTTAAAACTGTCTATTTGAAAATTACCTTTCTTTCGAAGCTGTACATGTAATCTGTTTTTTCACCAGTTCACTTTGTACTTAGCTTCGACAATGCTGGGAAATATCTTTGAGAATGAAATAATATTGAAAGCAGAGAGTTTAATAGGCATGAGACTCACCAATGCTTGTCAGGTGTTTTAACAAGTCCAGGAATTTAACATTTCTTGTCTTGTATAGTCCGGAACCACTAGGATGTTAAGGAGTTAAGTATGACGGGATTTTTTTAGTTTCCTACGTGTACTAGATAGGACAGTATTGCGATCGGGCCAAATTTCCGATATGCGGTTTTCGACGGATCTATACGTTTCATAGTCCCATGAGCACTACTTCACTGTTTCCTCTACTTTTAACAAAAGTTATTCTGGGACAAAATTAGACTATGGAAAAAAGTTTTTGATTAGCAATATTAGAGGGTATGGAAATTTTTATAGTGATCTACCACAATCTTGTTTACATTGCTTTGGTTTATTAAAGAAACCATACTTAAATCATTTATTTGATAAATTTTCAGGAAAATAAATCTAATTTTTATTTTATTTATTTATGTAGATATATAATATTCTGTCTCGTGGACAATAATTATAGTAATAAATGAAGACAATTCACACAATATATACAGAAAATACAAAATTAACAAAAGTAAAATAATAACTAAATAATTATAAAAAAAACCTATATACAATAAAAAATAAAATAACCTAAGAAAAGTAAATTAAAACCATAAAAACACAGTCATATCAAATCTAATTAAATTTTTTTTTTGATTCTTAATGGACAAATTTAAAGATATAAAAATTTTTCTGAAATATGTAAGAAAGTCGTGAGAACCAAACCAGATTTTTTATAATGTTGTTCTCACCAAAGCATGTCTTGAAATCGTTGTACGCAGCGCTGTGTGACGTGTGAACAACAGTATATCTACAATTTAAGTCCTGAATGCAAGTAATATAGCGTAATGGAAAAAGAGTAAATGT